AGTGCCATCAAGCCAGTTCTAACTCATAGCAACCCTATATAGGGTTTCTAAGCAATGGCTGTGGACTTGGACCGCAGACCTTACAGTTAGCAGCCCAGTGCTTATCCTACACCACCACACCATAACTACATCTTCCCAAAACAAAGGTAGATATGTATCTTCAATACAAGCCCATTTTATAAATGAGAAAACTGAGCTCACGGATGTTAAGTAACTCCAACAGAACTGGGAATTATGAAGTTAAGTCAGAAAGCATTACTACAAAATCAAAGAAAACTTTATAATAAAATATCAAAATGTGAAGCTACTGCTCCTCCACATATCCTCCCTCTGGCGCCAGGGTTCCCGTCTCTCTTTAACCTTACTGTAGTGAAGTGCTGCGAAGTGGGTTCCAACTCATAGCCACTCTGTATAGAGTTTCCGAGGAGCGACTCCCATCAAACTACAGGTTAGCATCTTCGAGGGACTCAAATCACGTTCCTTTGAAACACTCTTTGAGTTTAGGGAACAAAAAGAAAAGTGAAAATACAAGATCAGTGCTGTAGGGCAGATGAGGTAAGGTTCCCCCATGAAGTTCATGTAGGACAGTCCTAGCTACCCTTGAAGAGTGAACAGGTGCATTGTCATGATGGGGGAAAAAATTCTTGGTACACCTCTTCTGGTCTTTCTCTGCAATACAGTTTTCAATTTTCTTATAACTTCTTCATAATAAACTCTCTGACCGTCCTGTGTCCTTAAAGAAAATCTATCACAATTACCTCTTTGTAATCCCAAAAAAACTATTGCCATAACCTTCTGAGAGACATGTTTCAGCATATTTTGTTTGGAATAAATCTGTACATGTATGAACTGAAACCCTAGTAGTAATACTTTTTGACTTACTTTTGTATGCCTGGGTTTCTTTGATTTTGGAGTCCCTGGGTGGCACTAACCAAAAGGTTGGGGGTTCAAGTACACCCAGAGGTGCCTCAGAAGGTCTGGCAATCTACTTCCCAGAAAATTCAGCCATTGAAAACACTGTGGAGCACAGTTCTAGTCTGACTCACATGGGGTCACCATGAGTTGGAAGCTATTCAGTGGCAATCGGTTTGGCTCCTTGATTCTAAAGTCAGCTGCCGGTAACTCCCCTTCTCCACCCGGCAACGCCCTGGGTTTGGAGATTAATTTTTGAGGTTGAGACCCTGACTCCATTTCTTGAGTCAGCACTACACCGTCTCCTTCAGCTCCAAGTCACTGAGAACACTCCAGCCACTCACCTTTTAGACTTCAGTGCCTGAGCTTTCCCGATACCCTCTAAAGTCCTGAAAAGAAAAAGATTCACTTGAGGAATACTGAAGGAATAAAACGAACCCCCAAATTCTCTTTCACACCAGCTAACCTAGGGGGAGGGGGAAGACCTGGTGTGGCGCTGTGGGTGAATGCGTTGGACTGCAAAGTCAGTTTGAACCGCAAGATCGGCGGTTCAGGTTCACCAGACGCACCTCGGAAACCCTATACAGGGTCGCTGTATATGGGTTGGAACGGACTCGATGGCACGTAACAACAACCTGGGAGGTAGGACAGAATGAAAGTGCTGTTGTTGTCACGTGCCATCGAATCGATTTCAGTTAACAGCAACCCTATATAGGGTTTCCAAGGAGCAACTGATAGGTTTGAACAATCAACCGTGTGGTTAGTAGTACAGTGCTTTATTCTAAAGCAAAAAGGAATCTAAATCCTTGAATCCGCGGACCAGTTCCTATAGTGCAGAAACTCTCCTGCGCCCCCTGGTGGTGTTTAACACCACCGTGTTCTCTCAGGTATGATTGGTGGTGGTGGTTATGTGCCATGGAGTCGACCCTGTAAAGGAGCTCTGGTACCGTAGTGGTTAGGAATGGCATTGAGAACTGCAAAGTCAGCAGTTCCAAACCACCAACTGGGTTTCCAAGGAGTGGCTGGTGGATTTAAACTACTAACCTTGCAGTTCAAACAGACCTTGCTTATCCTACAGTGCCACTGTTGTACAAATTCAGTAAGGAATCTGGTGGTGCAGTGGGTTAGTACTGTGTTGCTAACCACAGGAGTCCTGATGTGGCACTGTAGGATAAGCACTGGACTGCTAACTGCAAGGTTGGCAGTTCCTTGGAAACTGTATACAGGGTTGTTATGAGTTGGAACTAATTCGACGGCAGTTAACAGCAACACGTTGCAAACTTAATTAGGGGCCCTGATGACATTGTGGGTTAAGCATTGGGCTACTAACCACAAGGTTGGTGGTTCAAACCCACCAGCCGCTCCTCGAGGAAAAGATGAGATGGCTTTTCTTGGAAGGTTTACAGTCTCAGAAACTCTAAGGAACAGTTCTGTATCCAACAGGGTCACTATGAGTCAGAATCGATTCAATGGCTGTAGATTTACAAACATCCATTTACACACCCAACGGATGTGTCCCAATACTGCATTATATATACGTATTAAGCTCCACCAGATCAAATATAAGGAGTCCTGTTATGGCGCTGTAAGATAAGCACTGGACAGTTAACTGCAAGGTCAGTGGTTCATACCTACCAGCCACTCCTTGGAAACCCTATCCAGGGTCTCTGAGTCAGAACCAATTCGATGACAGGTAACAACAACAGGTCAATATGAAAGCTTGTGCTGAATGCTTTTTTTAATCACCACAACCACCTCCATTTCCCTTGCCTGAGGTTCCTGAGAGGTAGCTTCCCCTAAAAACTTAATCCCACCTCCTCACTTGCAGGAATGTCAAGAGGTGTAAGCAGATAAGGTCTCCTGGGATAAATGTGTTACTTAAAGTAAGGGAGGTGACAAGAGAAGAGAGGGGTTGAGAGGAAACTGCAGATGCCTCCAGGCCAACAGCTTCTGTCTACTGAAGACTGAACAGTAGGAGAGAGAAATAAGGGCTATTGCAAGATGGAGGAGATGGGGGGAGCTGCTTAGTTTTCAAGGGATAGTTGAGGCATGCTGGTCCAACAGCAGAAGAATGGAATTGGTCTCAGATGAGCATCATGACCCTCACAGGTACCATCTCTCAGATAGCCTGGAATAAACCCTTTTGCTCAGTTTAAGTCTCCTTGGAGGCCAGGATGGCCAAATTTCGTCTCTCATACTTTGGACATATTGTCAGGAGGGACCAGTCGCTGGAGAAGGATATTATGTTTGGTAAGGTGGAGGGTCAGAGATGAATTGGCAAAGTGGCGGCATCATTGGGCTCAAGTGTGGCAACAATTATGAGGTTGGCCCAGGATCGGGCAGTGTTTCGTTCTGTTGTGCATAAGGTCACTATTCAACTTGATGGCACTTAACAACAACACCTTGTTTTATAGCACTGGTATTATAGTGGGTTATGTATGAGTTGGGCTGCTAACCAGAAGGTCAGCATTTCAAATCAACCAGCCACTCTGAGGGAGAAAGATGAGGCTTTCTGTTCCACTAAAGATTTGGTGGCTGTGTGCCGTGGAGTTAATTCCGATTCATAGCAACCCTGTACAAAGTTTCCAAGGCTGTCAATCTTTACCAGAGCAGAACGCCTCATCTTTCTCTGGCCGAACAGCTGGTAGTTTCGAACTGCTGGCCTTGCGGTTCACAGTCCGATTCGTAACCACTACGCTACAGCCTTGAAAACCCTATACAGAGTCGCTATTTCGCTGAGTTGGAACCGACTCTACAGCACCTTGTTATAAAAGCCCTGGTAGCGCAGAGGATTAAGCATTGTGCTACTAATCCTAAAGTCAGTGGTTGAAGCTCACCAGCCACTCCGAGGGATAAAGATTTACAGTCCCGGAAAACTGAAGGAACAATGCTATTCTGTTCCCTAGGGTAGCTATGAGTCAGAATCAACTTGAGGGTACTGGGTGGGTGGGTACCTTGTGTCTTGGTCGTGAAAATCTGACACTTTGCAATTCTGCTGACTCTCCAACCTGAATTAAAAGGTGTGACTGGAAAGGTGAGCCCATTCTGGGCGCAGGCCACTACAGGACGCAAACCTCAACTTGGAGGCGCACCGGAAGGAAGGGATGAAAGGTTAGGGGTGGGAGGGTCCAGGGCTGCTGAACAGATTCAAATCAGCGTGCTCAGGACTTGGAGCCCCATTCAGATACCCTGACAGTAACTCAGCGGGCTCCTGGAGGGTCCCCAAGACTGACTTTGCCAACCGAAAACGGAGCGATGCCCGGCTCCATGGTTTAGCAGAAGGCCAAAAGGGCCATCGTAGTGAATCCGGGGAAAGAGAGAGCTCTGCGAACCCCAGCTCCAGTCCACACCCCCCTTCCTGCCTATAAATAACCCCAGTGTCACTTCAAAGGGGACTGGGAGTGCGGGAGAGGGGCTCCAGGGGCCAGTGGGCTGGGGCCGCTGGGCATGCACACCACGCCCCCCACCCCGGGCGAGTTTGCATAAATAAACAAATCCAGGCAGTCAGCCCTGCAGGAGGTGGAGAGGAGGAGGGGGGCGGGAGACATTAGTTTGGGAAGTAGCACGGATTGCTCATCCGATCCGTGCAGCCGCGGCCAGTGTGTCAAGTTACAGAGACGCCGGAATCGGCCCCAGCTCTCCTCCGCAGCGGCCACGACCCACCTCTGCCCATGGGGCTCTCCATGTGCGCCCTGACGCTCCGGGACTGAAACTGCCTCACCAGCGAGACGCGAGACACCAACAAGGACCGACAGCGCGGAACCAGCTTAAGAACTCTGCGAGTGCTTGAAGGGAAAGACCTGGCGGAGAGGAGAGCCGGCTAGAGTGCTCCAGTTTTTCCTGGACTTGGAACGTTCGTCCAAGAAACGTTTTCCCACCTTGGTGTACCCTCGGTTACTGCTGGTGTGTCTTCGCCCTTTGCCCCACTGCTGCTGACTTCTAAGCCTATCGGGCCACGAGCAAAGGAAAGGGACATTTTCTAGCGACACAGCCCTTTCTGGCGCGCAGTCGGGGTCGCGCCTTTGGGCAGCGGCTCGCGCCTTTATTTATTCTATTTATTTATTTATTGGTTCACAAGACGCCAGAGGATGGTGGCTGAGCGAGCCCACAAAACGGCAGCCGCCGGTGCCCGCGGCCCTGGGGAGCTGGGCGCGCCCGGGATGGTGGTGCCGGCGGCTGCGCCGACCGAGCGCTGCGCGCGGCTGCCGAACCCGGGGTCTTGCGGGCTGCTTGCGCTAGTTCTCTGCTCGCTGGCACTCAGCCTGCTTGCCCACTTTCGGACGGCGGAGCTGCAGGCCCGGGTGCTGCGCCTGGAAGCCGAGAGCAGGGAGCAGCACATGGAGACGGCTATTTTGGGACGAGTCACCCAACTGCTGGACGAGGTCTGTGTTCTTTGTTGCTGACTTGTATCCCTCCCCGCGGCGCCCCCTCGCGCAGCCTTCAAACTCTTGACCAGCCCTTGCCGGTGGGCGCTCGCTCTCCGTTCCGCCTTGTGCGCCTCGGGCTCGCGCCGGTAGTCTGTGGGAGGGCGGAGAGGCAGAAACCGACGTGACCCTGTCCGGGACCTAGAGGACTAGGAGGCCTGTGCGTGGGCCCCCCGCCCCCGACTCCGGGTCCTGGCCGGCGCCGCTGCGTCCCACCCTGGGCTCGCGGGGCAGGTGGAGGGAGGCTGGGCGTGCGGGGGCGGACCAGTAACTCTTCTCAGGCGGGACCTTGGTGGTATGAGAACGGCCCCGCGCCCACGCGGCGGGAAGCGTGCTCCGCCGCCTGCTCCTTCCCCTCCACACTCGGGGTCGGCGCCGCCTGACTTCTATGGCTAAGGCCACTTTCTGTTGGGAAGAGGGAGTTGAGGGAATGAGTCATCCAAGGTGCTGGGGAGGGGTGGAACTTAGTGCAGAGAGGGAATCCTTGTAGGGGTGATGGTGTCCAAGTCCCAGCTCGCTGCTTCAAGCCTATAGGGCCCAGGTGTGTGTCCTCTTGGTTTTGCTGGCCCATGATCTAGCTCTTCGTACCCTCTTGTTCCTAAGCCAGGTTTCTTAGCCTGGGGCCCCTGAATGGTCGCCAACATTTTGTGTCTCTGTATATGTTGTTACATGCCGTGGAATCGGTTCCGACTCATAGCGACCCTGTACAGGGTTTCCAAGGCTGTAAATCTTTACGGGAGCAGAAAGCCTCGTCTTTCTCCCGCGGAACAGCTGGTAGTCTCGAACTGCTGGCATTGCGGCTCACAGCCTGATTCGTAACCACTACGCTACCAGAGCTCCTTATGTATATATGTATGCTGAATTTTCTCTCATTCCCAAAGTGGCCTGGATTAAAAGCCCCTGCCTTAAATTTTAGGCGTCCTGGTGGCGCAGTAGCTAAAATGCTTAGCTGCAAACTCAAAGGTGGGAAAACGATTTGGCATCATTTAATATGTGAGTCTTAAGCTTTCAGAAACATTCAGAATGTCTCAAGCAGTCTTTGGATATATTTAAAAAAAAAAAATTATCTCTTCTGGGAGAGTGCAGTACCTCTGTAGGATAAGCACTGAACTTTTAACCACACGTTAGTGGTTCAAACCCAACAGCCCCTCCAAGGGAGAAAGATTTACAGCCAAGTTGGCTATGAGTCAGAAGGGACTTGAGAAGAATGGAAAACAGCAACCTTCCCCTGAAAAGGAGGGCTATGCTGTCTTGCTGGTGCCAGCGAGGAGAAGCTGGTCAGTGCAAGGGTGAAGACTGGAGGTTCATGAGCATCTGGGAGCACAGGTGAAGTGGAAGATGGCAGGTGAGGGCTCCAGCGATCTGCCAAGAAGTCTGTGGAGTATGTCTGTGGGGAAGACATGGGAGGAGAAGGTCTGCTTAGCAGGAGGTGGTGTGGAACAGTGAAGAGCAGCATGATGGAGCCCAGCACGCCTAACTTTTCATCCTCATCTTACTACTTAGAAGCTCTGCAACTTGGGTCAGCTCTCTGACCCCTCTGCATCCGTACAACGGTGATGCTGATGGAAGGCTGAGTGCCCAGCCTGTGAAAGTGGAGAGGTGCTTTCTTCCCTGCAGCCGACTCCTCTCAGGTGCTTCTGCCAGGCAGTTCTAGAGAGTGGTCCCAGACAGGGAGGTCACAGTACACAGAGGGAGGGTGGTTAGAAGGCTGGTGTTACTGGCATACCCAGAACTGTTGCTTTCAGCTCATTCCCACGCCCTGCCAGGCCCCAGGGAATTCAGAGGACTCTGTCAGGCTGCCCATAGCTGGGCCCCTGGACCTCAGCACTGTGAGCCAGCAGCCTTCCCAGAGGGCTGACACTCCACATGGGCCTGGGGGGCTCAGTTAGGTATCTGACTGCTGTGGGGTAAGCACCTGACCTTGGGGGTTTAGCTCAGTTCTCTCTGCACCCCCAACTGGGGCATGGGCAGAACACACCTCAGTCCTTCCCCAGGGCTAAGGTGATGCATGCTCTTAGGACCTTGGGGCTGACAGTTAGTTGTATCTTTCATACTGATTCCACCTCTCCAAACTGCAGCGTCATTTTTACCACTACTGACTGCTAGAATTCATACCCACCTGATCTGAATTACCCCAGAGAGTATCTGGACTGATACTCCTTCTTAAAGAGGGGAAAATTGAGGCCCAGAGAAGGGCAGTAGGTTATCTAGAAGAGCACAGCAAGTTCATGGCAGATCAATACCTGATCCAACACGAAATGCTCTTTCCTGTGGACTGCCACCTTCCTTTGTGCATTCATTCATTCAGTAAATGTTTCCTGAGAGCTAGCTGTGGGCCAGTTATTGTGAGCTACACTCTTCTGCCCTTCCTACATGGACAGATGACTAGGAACACAGAGAATAAGATGGGCAGTGACCATGTCCTCTGAAAAATGATCCAATAACGGAAGTAGAGGGGCCTGGGGAAATAGTACATGCAACGTAGAAGGTCTAATGGTGGGGTGAAGGTGGCAGCAATCGTGGCGGACTTCCCAGAGAAGTGATTTTTAAGCTAAGACCTAAAGGTTGAATAGGAGTTTACTGGGCAAAAAGGGTGAAAGAGCAAAGGAAACCACTTCTGGAAGCTGGAGACTAGGTGAAGGGGGTTGCCTTGGAGAACTGAGGGGAGTCCTGGACGCTGGAGGGCTGGGAGGATGTGGGGATAGGAGATGTGGCTGAAGAAAGAGAGGCAGCCCCGATCAGGAGGGGCATTGGAGATCTATGTAAGAGTGGTCGGAAATCATTGAAGGGTTTTGAGGAAGGCAGTTGTTGTTAAGTACCGTAGAGTTGGTTCTGACTCATAGTGATCCCGTACAGGGTTTCTGAGGCTGTAAATCTTTACAGGACCAGAAAGCCTCATCTTTCTCCCGTGGAACAGCTGATGGTTTCGAACTGCTGACCTTGAGGTTAGCAGCCCGATTCGTAACTTCTACTCTACCAGAGCAGTTAGGTCCCTAGAAGGAGGCCAGCCAGAGGGGACTGTGATGTTGGCTGGGGTAGAAGCAGGGACAGACAGCAGTGGCTACAGTCATGGGGCCTGAGGACAGTCAGAGGAGGAGGTAGGACCAGAGGGACGGACCTGGTCTGTCACCTGGTCTGTCGGCTGGGTGGCCCTAACGCATCTCCTGGGAGGGACGGCTCTCAGACTGCACTGTCCAGTAATGTGATCCCTTTTCACACACAATTGCTTGTCTTTAAGTTAATTAAATGTAGATTATTTAAATAAATAAAATGTAAAATTCAGTCCCACTAGGAGTCCTGGTATGGCGCTGTGGGTTAATGCGCCAGACTGCAAAACTGTTTGAACTGCAAGGTCGGTGGTTCAAGCTCACTAGCTGCTCCTATACAGGGTCGTTATGGGTTGGAGCTGACTTGATGACACTTAACAACAACAACAACAACAACAAAAAGGCACATTTTAGAGTCCTGGCCTGGTGCTATAGATAAGCATTTAACTGCTAACCATAGATGAACAGTTCAAACCCACCAGCAGTTAAAACCCACTTCTCGGGAATCCTATTCAGGGTCACTGTGATGGCACTTCACAACAATAAAAAAGCACATTTCAAATGAGCTCGTGGCTCCTATACTAGGCAGTAGAGATACAGAACTGTGTGCATCATCATAGAGTTCTATTGGATATAGGCAGCATCAGACCTGCAAAGGTGACGTTAGGGCACCCACCCTAGGCCTTTCCTATCCTAGGCATGCCTTCCCAGATCTGAATAAAAGGCCAAGGAGAAGGATGGGGGCACAAAGAGGGGCCATCAGGGGTGGGTAGAAAATCTCTGAGTGAGGAAGGGGAAGGGCAGAGAGAAGAGAGAGGGGGAAATCAGTTAGAAAACAATTCTAAAATGGGTGTGTCCTGGGGTCTCTGCCCTCAAGGGTCAGACAAGCATTAGTGAGCTGAAGGCTTTGCCTCCTTCCAGGCATGTGGTTTTAGGCAAGCCACTTCCCCCCACCCCAAAACCTCATCTTTCCTCCTCTGTTAACTGCAGACCCTCCTTCTCTGGGGCTTACTGTGAGACCCTCAGCAGATGGCAGGTGGGAAAATGTACTGTTAGTACTAAAGAATGCCACAGCCCAAGGCCATGCTTAGAACCAAACAAGTGTATAGTGAGGGTTCCCAGGGACCTGGGCTGGGTGGGCATTCCCTCTTGGGGTAGGAGACCTGAGCCACTCCCTAAAGGATGGGATGGGCAGTCCCCGAGATGCCCACAGCCTGTGGATGGCCCAGAGGCTGGAATCCCAGCCCACCTACAAGTTCCCTCTCCCAGTTGACAGGCAGTGAGTGTATGTCTGTGAGGTAGGAAATAGAGCTGGCAGAGCCCCGGAGGCTAAGGGGACTACTAAGAGAGGGGCTTGGGAAGAGGAGAGCCCAGGCAGAGATGAACACAAGTCCCAGATCCAGATCCGGGACAAAGCCACTGGGAAGAAGGTGGGGGGGTGGCTCTGAGTGTGGTGCCCAGGCCTTGGACCCCATCTCTCCCTCCACCAGCACCTCTTTCCTAATCTGGGACCCTTAATGAGCCGTCCAGCTGCCTGTTGTTTGGGTTACTTGCTGTGGAGAAATAAACTGATTACCCCAACTGGAGGAACTCAGATGTCACCTCGAAATGGCAGTGGGTGTGGAGTGACGGAGGTGGGAGTAGAATTTAAAATAGTCAAACGCATTCTGTGGGCCAAGGGGAAGTAAAAGGCATCCACAGCCGCCTTGAAGGTGGATTTGAAGGATACTGGGCAGACACAAAACTAATTCAGTTGCCATCAAGTGGATTCTAACTCATAGTGACCACATGTGTGCAATGTAGGATTTTCAACGACTGTGATCTTTTGGAAGAAGACTGCCAAGGCTTTCTTTCCAAGTGTTTCTAAGTGGGTTCAAACCACCAACCTTGCAATGCTTAACTGTTTGCACT